TGCTATCCAACTTGTTTTAAAACCACACATCATACATTATTATAATCTTCCTCGCCCTAAGCGACGAAACACCGAATGCTTTCATTAGGTCTATAGCAACTCACATAACCAAATCACAAGGAGAAGAAGAAACGACATCAGATAAGCATTAATTGTATTTATTTGAAGATGTTATGGCAATCTGGTATTTATATTATAACAACAGTTAATAATTACAATCGGTAAACAACTCCCACTACTTTTCATTTAAAGTGACAATAATTAAATTTTGGTTGAGTAAAAAGCTCAAATTCCTTTCTAGACGAAACCTTTTTAATTTTTAATTTAAAGATTTGGCGATTTTTAAAATTTCAAGTTTTAATGGATCTCGAAACCATACTGTACTAATAAATACACTTTCTTCTATGCTTGCAAAAATTTAAACAAGCAATAGTCAAGAACATTTTGAAAACGTCCCTAGTGTTTTATGTAAAGTAGAATCAATAATTAAATTATCCTAATGATTTTCGAATCAACACAACTAGATTTCACTTCCAAGCACAACTACATATTACTCCTACACTTCAAACGCTTATAACTGACGAAGTATCACTCCATCGCTTCAGACATCCCGATTTTCAGGTCCAAAGTGCATACATCTCCTCTCCTTTTCGCCTGAATCAATCAATTTAACAATATTCTCCCTTACTAATGGACCTTAATCCTCACTAGTGTGCGAAGCTTAAAAGAGCCTTGAACAATGATTTGACGATCGAAAACTCGATATCGTATTTTTGAGGTGATTCTACTACTTTTTCTTTTTGAACTGAAGTATAAAGATAGAAAAAATAACAACAAGAAATAAAGCAGTCACAGAATTAGTTTGCACTGATTAGAAAAGTAGATTTTTTACTTTACTACCATGAACGACTATTTTTCCATGAAATCTAATTTTTTGTATGTATTTTGTGTCTTTACCCTAAAAACATAATTACCACAGGTAATTTATTTCATTATAAAATTCCCAGCTACCCTATCCCGTGCAATTGCTGTTACATCATGTGCCACTGGAAAGAAACATTGTAGGAAATTAAGAGGTTATTTTACCTAACGGATAATACAAGAGTTATATTTACTTGGAGGCCATTAATCTTACTCCATACATATGATTGATTTACCAGAGGAGCGTCGGTTAATGGAAGCAATAAATTATACGTTACGTGTGCGCTAAATATAAGAGTTTTTTGTACACTATTGAGGTGGCGTATACCTTAATAATACGTATTTGAAGCAATGAAAACACTATTGTTTCGTTACGTATCATTACTGGATCACTGACATATCGCTATAGACCACATAGAGAATAGACCACAATCACTTGTTAATCCTAGATTACAAAAGTGTCGTCTGTCTTAGAGCATGATGCAGCTTTCCACGGAATAAACAGGGTGTCTCCTTTGAAAACAATCAAGAATATTCGCAAACAGTTTAACACTTTACAAAGATATATCGCAAGTTCGATTTAAAAAAGCACATGCGTTTTTTCATAAACGTGTAGAGGACAGCTGTAAAGAGGCCTAGTTGATGAGTAACTCAACTAGTCAACGAAAAGGCATGAGGGGTCGTTCATAAATTACGTGACGCTAAGGAAAAGAGAGAGGCACTTTGGGACAGCGTTACTCAGCGTTACATAGAGGTAGGGGTTGTTAGTTTGATGTTATCTAAAAATGATTTTTCTTCATTATTTGCTGAAAACAGTTTATTTTGTATAGTCCAGTCGGCAAGTAAATTTTGCCTGGACAAAGATCATACAAACTTTTCCTTTGGGTTTGTACTCGTCGTATGTAGCCTATCCATGCACTAGTAGTATTTTTCAAAGAGTATTATTCTGATTTTTTCTCTTTAACACTTGTAAAAAATAATTCAACTCAATTTTATTGAGAATACATATTTTTACAACTTTTGTATAAAACATTTCTGTCGAAGCCAATTAGCGAGCGAACTGCAGCTTTTCAAAAATCGCTATATTTTTTCGTTATGCTGACTTATCGTTTATATGTCTATTGAAAAGCAACTCGTTTCCAACTCACGCAAGTATTGATTCTTGGATGAATGTGTAACAAAATATCTCATCGGTAGCACAACCGAAAGAAATTAGAATATAAAATGAAAAATCCACAACAATATTAGTAATTTTCTTTCAAATTAAGTTTACATATGGAATTAGATTTCCTCGAATTTTTCTCTCTTTAACACTTTGAATATAATGAATTATATTTTAAAATATTTGAAAACCAAGAGATCATTATAAACCTAATTTTATGGAATTTAATTTTTATTTATTTAATTTTTGGAATAATTAATATGTCGAAATAAAATAATTTTAATTTTCAAGGCTTGCATTCAAACTTGTATTCGCTGAGAAGTCTAATTCATCTACAAGCTGAATTGTATAATGTAAAATATAATACAAAATGAATGCGTATTGTTAAAAGCACGTACTTGTATAAGTTGTCAGTACATTGTAATTTTGTAAAACTTGGATTAGAGGAAAGAAATCACATAAATTAATTTTCAAATCAATATTTAATGTGTTCTGTCAGATATGTTAAAATCGAATTTATTGTATCAAATAACCATACTTAATGGTCACAACAATGTAATTATACTGAATACCAATGCAAAGAAATAATAAAGCACTGGACGTCAAATGAAAGTAGAATTTATCCTGGTAATAGATTAGCCTTGATTTACCTTTGTTCATGAAACCCTTATACATCGAATTATAACTATTCTTAAATGAAATATTGGTAATCTTGGAAATGTCAAAATAGGAATGTTGACTGAATTAAGTTTTTAAATGAAATATTTTATTGTTAACAGGTCTATTTCGTATAGTTTAATGTAGTTTATTATTTTTTTATAAATAAGAGCGTTTCAATACAATTCATCTTCCCAATTTACAAAAACATACTTTTCTGCTAAAGATTTGAAAATAATTTTATTTTAACAATTTGCTTACATTTTGTGACATTGTTTTGATTAATCATTGACAATGGAGATCCTTCATGGAGTAACAGTTTTATTACTACGTTTTTAGACTGTGCGATGATCTAATACGAAGAAACAAAAATCTTACAACTAAAAATTCATTTCAACGTACACAAAAGATAACTCTAGAAAACAAAAGAAACACACTACTATTCATTTACCAAATATTCACAAACTTACACAACATACCACAAGACGAAAATTAAGATTTTAATTCTTTTAAAAAGAAACCTTTGAAAACTTTACAGATTCTATAGAATTCATAAAATCTTCTATTTAGTTTGTCTATCACTTCAAAAATATTCTATTTTATCTAGACGAATTTGTCTAATTAATTTTTCTTTTTTATATTTACATAACTAGTAACAAAATATAGTTGTACATTGATGTGGAAATAACATAAACTATCATTGGCTGAGCGCCATAGCTAGCTCAAAAACAAGACTAAATGGTTCAAATTCAAGAATTCTAAAAAGCGTACACTACTCTTCAAGGCGGATTATAATATTTTGAAATCATTTTTCATCATTTATTGGAAATGTAAATTTACAATAAAAAGGTAAATAATAACTGATATTACATATGCTGTATTCTTCTATATTGAAAACAACTGGTCGAAGCCGAATGAACTCAGGGAATTATTTCTCACAATAGATAGGCACTTCAAGACAGATTTTATCTGAATTAAAATGAAATAGTTTTTATTTTTTGATTGCGCAACATAACTCACAGTCATATGCTCTACTGAATTTGTAACAATATGTAATTTAAAAAGTTTGAGGATCAAACACACGAATTACATAGTTAAGAACTACTCATATGACCGAAGGAACTTGAGCAAAAAGATCCTTTCCTACCTTTCCGAAACTACCCGTTTAAACCAGAGATCGAATAGCCCAAATATGCTCCAAATATCATTTGGAAGCAGCTCTAAATTAACTCCGCATTGCAGTTGTTGGACAGGCCGAGACAAAGGACAGAATCACGCGCTGGCTGAAAATGAGAAACCTTTGACATAATTATAAGAGTTGTCTGGCACATGAGATAGCGATTCCAACTCTTCAATATCTCCTAACAGTCTTGGTATAATCAAATGGACAGTCCGACACACATTGTAGAGCTCTGAGTGTCTCTCTGATCGTGATGATACAGTGAGAATTGCCTAGTTGTTCGTAGTAACAGGTATTGATACTTCAAGATCACGTCGGGGCGGTTAGCTCAACTTGATGGCAGATATTTACAGCAGTAGTTAATCCCTGTAAGTGTTGTCGGTGTTAGAAGACATGTCAAAGCAGCAGAACATACCGTCTTAAAAACCCTGTTTCTGAGGTCTGAAATACAGTCTTGATCTGTTGGAGAGATCAAAAGGGCAGTAGTTAGTTCAAAGGGGTCAAAAGAATAAAAGAATAGAAAATCTGTTGGAGAGACCGAAAGTATAGTCCATGGCACATATCAGAACGGATGGGTTCATTTCTAAACGGCAACCTGGAAACGTTAATTGACTCAGAAGAGGAAGCCGAAAGCATTCTTATAAGAGCAGAACCGAAGAGTAGCAAATGTTAGACCCCGAGCTCTCCGCTCTCTACCGCACACTCGATAAGTCAGTAGCACCAAGACAGACTGGGGAGGGAAGAGACGTTGCTGACGGAGTAGTACAAGTGATAGTCATTAGGTCATCAGGGCAGAAGGACAGACTATTAAGCACTTCGAAATATATGTACTATGAATCCGAAACATGGGTCAGATGAAGAAGCCAATTCTCACAACTCTGAGCGATGGTTAGGGAATAGGCGGTTGTCGAGGTCAGAAAGTCAAAACGAGGCGCACAGCTGTAAGCAACTCAGATGGGTCGAGCTCTTAACGGCGTCCACAAACGTTAGTTAACAGTTGGTCGGCACATACATAGTTCTGTGTGTGGGTAGACCTCTGAAGTGGGTAGTCCTCTGAAGCGCATCCTGGTTCCATCGCCGATGTCAAAATGGCACCCGGAGGCAGAAGAGTATGCCGCTGGGGGTATAAGAAGAGAAAGTGGTTTGGTCGTCGTCAACGTCAGAAGGGCACGCCCAGGTGCATCGTCCCCTGCGACAGCAGGGTGAAGATCTATTAAGTATTCCCTGGATCCGTCGCCGGGTATGAAGGGCTGGCCGAAGGGCAGGCCGAGGCAGGAGCTTAGTTCGTTTTGAGTATTAGAAGGGAAGGATAAATCAAGAGTTTAGGCCGCCGTAAACGTCAGGCAATGCCGCTGCACATAGTCCCGATCGACAGCATGGCGGAGTCATCTGAATAGAACCCTGGCTCATCGTCGCTGTTAGATGGCCGAGGCAGGGACGTGGTCTACTTCAAGTACCAGAGTACCAGGTACCATGGGCAGAATAAAGCAGGGGCGTGGACCGTCGTGGGCTTCAGAAGAGCTGGTAGAGGCATGGGCGTGGTACGTCCTCGGTATCAGGAAGGCAGACTGAGGAAGCAGGATGGCCGGTCGCCGTCTTCAGAAGGGCAGGCCGAGGGAGGACGGCGGGCCGTCCCCGAAGTCAAAAGGGCAGGCCTAAGGAAGCATGGGCGTTGTCTGACATCTTCAAAAGGGCAGGCTGAGGCAGCAGGGCGGTCCATTCCGGACGTCAGAAGGGCAGGCCGTGCGTGGTCTGTCGTCGTCTTCAGAAGGCCAGGCCGAGGCAGGAGGGCTGTCCGTCCCCGGCGTCAGAAGGGCAGGCCGAGGGGGCACGGGCGTTGTCTGTCGCCTTCAGAAGGGCAGGCCGAGGCAGGAGGGTGGGCCGTCCCCGGCGTCAGAAGGGCAGGCCGTGCGTGGTCTGTCGCCTTCAGAAGGGCAGGCCGAGGCAGGAGGGCGGTCCGTCCCCGGCGTCAGAAGGGCAGGCCGAGGCAGGAGGGCGGTTCGTCCCCGGCGTCAGGGCAGGCCGAGGGAGTTAGGTGGTCTGCCGTCGCCTTCAGAAGGGCAGGCCGAGACAGGAGGGCAGTCCGTCCCCGGCGTCAGAAGGGCAGGCCAAGGGAGTCATGGGCGTGGACTGTCGAGTCTTCAGAAGGGCAGGCCGAGGCAGGAGGGTGGGCCGCGACCGGCGCCGACGCCGAGCGCCGCGTCGCGCGCCGCGAAGTAGAAGGCGCAGGCGGAGGAGGCGGCGCCGGCGGCGGCCAGCGCCACGCAGCAGCTCGCGTGCAGGCGCGAGGGCGGGCCCTGCGGCCGCGCGCCCTCGCCTCCTTCCACCAGCAGGAGGCGGCGGTCCAGCCACTGCAGCGCGCCGCGCACGCCTGCCACCCACAAGGAAAAAAATACCAATCAGAAAAACTCTCTCTAGCCACGTATTAACTAGACAATTTTTTTTATTTGATTGATTGATTAGTGATTCCGGGAGCGTCAACGGCTAAGGCCAGTACTCCCGTAAGTGTTGTGCATATTGTTCCCTCGGGGTGTCAATCATCTGCTCTTTCCCGTGCTGGATTATGACACCTGGGACCGACCTATCATCGGGGATTCCCCCAAACAGCGGGACATCTCCCCAGCCTGGACAAGCTCTCTAATCTGCCGACTCGTCTCCCAGCATGTTTGATAGTGTAGTGAATGTAGTGTAGTGTAGTGAAGTGTGGGTAAGTAAAAGGGTGAAGATAGGGCAAGGAAGAGAATGGAATGATATGATCGCGATCTGTGGCCCGCTTGGTAGCATACTGCTTAGGCATTCGCCTGGTATTGTTCGGAGAAACGACGGAAAACTCTCGATCAAAGCAGCTGGCAACTAGAATTCTCCTCTAGACAACGTCAGGATTCGACACAGCACTGTTGCTAGTGCCAGGACTTGTACCTAGGTCCTCCCGGTCAGAGGCAGTACATCATCTGATGCCCTGAGCTACCTTTCCCGGTACTAGATTATAATTTGTATTTGGTATTTTGGGTCGATTTTGTGACATTTCCGGTGAGCTAATTGATTAACAAGTTTCGGGGATAAGAGAGACATGTGGCGAACAGGATGTATTAATTTCATCGTAAGTAGCGGACTCCGCCTGCCTGATCTGCTCTTTCTCACAGCTTCGTAATATTTCAATGAAATCTTCAGGAAAACTTTTTTATACACAATGTGTTTCATTTTGCGTTCCGAAGCAAGGACCAATTCCTTTATGGAATATCTTTTGTAGCATTCTCGAGAGCCTACTACGTACACCTGCTTTTGCTAAGTGTGAAAATAAATTTTACATAAAAACTAAGAAACGTTTTACATTAATCTACGTCTACTTCAAAAACGTCTGCTCCTGTGATTTACTGATTGTCATTGAAAAATAAAATGATCGGTACACTTACGTCTCTTGAATAGAAAGTGTACTTTCTGGGTGTTATAGGAATTTTTTGAATGAAATGTTTTTCTCATTTTGCTCAGTAAGTAAGAACAACAGCTTAATATATTTCGTTGTAATACAGTGAATCTCAAATGGATTATGTTTGATTGTTTTGGTAGGTTACCATTTCTGAGTATGATGAAAGCTACTCCAAATTTTATCTGTATCTTATGATGAGGTGCACTTACACTAATAATGTTTAAAAGTTCTACTGAATAGTAGACTGATACTAGATAGGTATTTTTATTGCACGGAGCAGAGCAAGAGAGTGCGTTGTGGCGGTTACAAAAAAATTAAATCATTGGAGCCCTTTGGGATAAGAAGGTAAACAAAGACTAAGTTAAAGAAAAAGAATTAGTCCAATACCTAAAATGTGTTTAAATTTCTTCTAGATAGATACAGTATGGTTTGAATTAAATTTGTTTTAAAGACAGTCAAGAAGCAATTCATTTGAAGTGAGATTCGTTTTAGTAATCAAATAAGCAAGTTGAAAAAGTATTTAATAATTGAAAATTCAAATTCACAGACTCTTCGGATTCATTTAACGAGTTTTGTAAGTATGTGCTGAATTTATCTTATAATACGCTCTTATGCCTACGCTTTTCTGAACAGACATTTAATGATGGGTTGCCGTTATCTTACACAGGAAGGAAGGTGATAATGGCGACCATTGCTAACGACGAAAAATGTTATGAAGTCGATGATAATTCAATCATTCCTTTTGCAAAAATCTGCGGTGCACGTTCTTATTGTAAGTTTTTTTAACTACCAAACAACAATGCGTAATGAGTTGCCTTCCAGTCAGAGGAAATTGTAACTTCAATTTTACATATGTACACTTATCTAAAAGAAGGTGGTCGACGGATATCTCCTACACGGCTCAATCGATTTTCATAATTTTGACACGTAAATAGAACACGAAACAACCTAGGATTATATCATATCATTCCGGTGCTCAACTATCTTATGTGTGAGGATATAGTAGATGATAAATAGATAAAGAAATATATGGATAAATAATCAAAGGTTGTCTGTTCTTGAGAGTATGCTACCCATGAGTCATCTCATGCATAACTTGAGATGTTTGTGCTTCTGTTAGATCATAGGCATTTAGATTATAGTACGTAAGAAAAATAAATTAATAATCACATTTCATCGTTTCACAATTTTTAGCCAAGAAAACGTAAGAAAAAATAATTAAAAACCACAAAATGTGATATAAATTCTGATAAGATCATATAAGATCATATCGTTGATTGAGGATGTATCAGTTCTACATGAGACGTCGGAGAATTAATATCCATTGAAGAAACATCAATTGTCCATGTGTCTGTGGATATTTTCCGGTTCAGATTAAATATTTGTGTTTGTTCTAGTAGTTGAATCATTGATGTTTGATCTACATAAGATTATCAATATAGTGCTCATTTGAATTTTGTGCAAAACCCGAGGCACTGTTTTGGGTAAATTTACATATCCTTAAAGGAACACTTTTCCAATAGTTGAATGTTCTAATAGGAGAAAATGAGACTAAAACGAAATATATATTATTAGATGATGTATTAAAATGTTTTGACAATATTTTAAACATTTTTTACGTTTAAAATATTACCCCCGGTTGGTTTTGTTTTTCATTATTGGCACAAATCCACCAACAGTGATTATGACAGTAGTGGTCAAACTTACAGGAAGTGGAGTTTATGCATTCTAGAACTGAGGAGTTGAACGAAGATAATTTATTTATTTTAACCTCTTTTATAGGCTACATGAATACAAAGTTGGAAACATCATGATAATATTGGCATTACAATGAAACATGAGCTGGTTTTTTTTGGACTTCAACTGAGTGTCTTAAAAACATTCTCCGGATAATAAAAATGTCGCATGGTGATCGTCCATTTGAGTTTCACATAACGAATTTAATACCGTAGCTCAATAAAACAAAAAATCTCCTACAACATTATTTTTAACCACGACGAGTATTAGCACTTTCACCGTAATTAGGTTTGGATTGGAATACGTTTGTCCAAATCATGTTTTTATTTCTCCATTTATTAAAACTGATATACTGTGTGATTATGTATTAATATAGTCGAATGCCAAGCGTAAAAGTGTTACTCTTTTGTGCTTTCTCTTTTCTAGTCAGATTATCATAGTGGCGGTTTACCGTGGAATTCCATTGGAAATATGATGGTGAGGGTGAACGTTAGGAGAGGATAATAATGAGAGATGAATTATTCAATTGAATTCAATGATTCAATTGAAGTACCCGAAAACACTTATGCCTTACGCGCTACTCGATCCAGTCTTTGGCCCTTCGTGTCTCCGATCTCCTGTCTTTTCTTATTTTACATCAAAATATCTGTCGTAAATACGCAAGTCTCCTCACAGTCGGACAAACTTCCTTTATCTAGAGCTCTGTGGCTAACGTCACCATTAGTCGCGTAATGTTCAAAAGAGTACATTCTTCTTATTCATTCATGCTGATCTAAACTGCCTGGCAAATTAACTAGCTAATTCACGAATTAATCATATTTCGCCTTTGAGATGCATGACTGATAGACTAATTTTTCCGGGCAGGCCATTCGTTCCAATAGCATAATGAGTACATTATCCTGAGAGGTGACAGTGCTCTCCCCCTCTGGAATGTGAGATACGCCGCCGACCCACACGTGAGCTTCACGGGTTTCACCCTTCTAGATATCTCCTCATAGCGTGACACTGCCGCTACCGGCACAAACGCAAGACTCCTGATAGGATTTCCGACATCTGCGGTAGTGTTGTGCATGCAAGTATGTATAAGAGTAATTGAAGAGGATATGACAAGAGACAACCCTTCTTTTGAACTTTTTCTCATCTCTTTAACTTTTATGTATATCATAATCTTCAGTGTTAATGCTCGGCCCGAAAGTTACCATCCTAGTTATGGTTTTTCTGGGTTTTCTTAATCGCCTAAAATGTATGCCAGGATGATCCCTTGCTTTGCACTCTCAGTCAAAAGGGTACAGTTTGTTCTCCATCTGTATCCCTTCTTCTGCATCCTTGGGATATTTTTAAATGTTTTTTTAATATATTTATGTTCCCCTTCTGCTTATCGTTTCATTCCCTTCGACTTCTATGTGAGGGTAATGTTCGGCCTTAAGTCGCCATTCTAATTGAGGTCTTTATGTTTGTACTTAATCAATTAAGGTAATGTGTATGCCAGTCGCTATTCAAATACTCAACGATTTATTACATCTACAAATTAATAATGGCTGCTTATAAACGTAAAAGAAGTGTTTAAATAATTAATTCACAATATTTAGAAGAGAAGTATGGAATTGTTGCTTTATAAAACAATATGTAACTAAAAATTTAATCTCTCGTGAGTGTTTTCTTTTATTTTGACAAGTGGACAAAACAGAATACATGTTATATACACTTCGGATCCCGCATTTTTATTTCTGCGTTGAATATCAGTCCCCATTGTTTACATCGAAAGTTAATTATCGTCAAATAGTTTGTGGATATGGGTGATACAAAATTATAAGTTATCGTCGCTTTCTATTGTACCTGAAGAGAAACAATATCATGAGTTGTACAGAATTACTCTCAAGCCGAGAGCTAGTACTCGAACTGCAATGACATTCATAGCCGGTATTTTTTCAATAACTCCTGATAATGCTCCGGGAAGCACGTCAAATTTAATACAATCTGATTCTCCAAAACCTTTACAATAAAATGAATGAAATAAAAAGCCATTTTGACTGTATGACGAATAATTTAATAAACCTTACGAACCTATGTTCGGGAAGGTTTTTCCAAACTAATTTATGCTCATTTTAATTTATTTTATTAAAAAACTCGGTCGATAAAGGACAAACTTTTCTTAACCAAAAAATGGAAGTTTTACTTTTTTTGGGGGAATACATCAATTTGGCCGATCAAACTATCTAATTAATCTCTTAATAACAAAAAATCTAATTAAGGCGTATGCCGGGATGATTTCCAGTTTTGCACAACCGGTCGGAAAAGTACAGCTTGCTTTCACACTCACTTAAATGCTCAAATCTCTGAGAGCATGTTCCAAGTACGGGTGGTGCCTCGCTGGTGGGAGATACCTGGTTGGGAAAAATATCGCCAGCTGAAGTGCAGTGGGCGCAGGATGTCGCTATCGCGTGGGAGAGATCACCTCCGCCTCCCGCATTTAAAAAAAATTAAAACAATTGTGGTTCTAATGAACTTAGCATCTGGCGCGGCAGGCCACACAATTTGATCACAACCCAGAACGAAGAACCACGCCCAGAAACACAACTCTGCTCAATCAATTTCATTAAATGATTTTAAAACATTCAAAACGTTTATGGTGTTAATGATCTTAATATCTGACGCGCTCGGAAACCAAATTCAATCACAACCTCAAGCGAAGAACCACGCACGGAAACAACACTGCTGAATAAACTGAATTAAATGATTTTTTTAAAATTCAAAACAGTTATGGTGCTAATGAGCCTAGCAGCAGACGCGCGCGGAAGCACAAATCGATTACCCGTGGTGGCGGCGCCCTGCCGAGGCGGCGGCAGCGCGGTGTCGTCCGCCAGGCGGCGGTAGGGCGAGTCGCTGACGAGGCTGCCGCGCGCCGCTGCCTCCGCCGCCCGCGTCGCCGCCTCCGCCTCCGCCTGCGCCTCCACGGAGCTGCGGCGCGGCTGCAGCAGCACCCTGGCCACAGAGAAACCACAGGGTTTCACAGCACACGGATTCTGCTTGTAATAACTACCCTCATCGATTACGTTTCCCTCAAGTTAATGACAACATATATTCGTAGGCTTCAGCGGCCGGAGTCATTGCATACTTCGCTCTCCGGAATGAGCCGCGTCACAGTCGATCGAGCTGTTGTTTCGACCATCGCGTTGTGGCCTTCTTTAGAGCTATATTGCAGCAGTATATCCCTGACGAAGGCCACAACACGATGGTCAAAACGACATCTCGATAGCCAAGTATCTAATGAGAACATACCAGTTTTTAAAACGTGATTATGATATCACTGTCAACAAATCGTAACATGATTTAAAATTTAATTAGCATTTAAAATTCGTTAGTATATTGTTCAAAATATCTAACTGAAGTTATTAGCTTAGAAAATAAGTCCAAAATATGTTTGTATAATTAACGTAATCCGAATTGAAAAATACTTTGTCTGTTAAAGACCTGAATGCTAAAAGTAAAAAAATCTGACATGCAAATGTTAACGTTATCTTCGTACAATTTTGTTCAAGGAATATCTTAATAAGAAATAAAAACCTGAAACGGAGTAACATTTTTAAAACGTGGAGACTAAACTTTACGTTAAACTTCGAATTTGAACACTGAATATCAATGTAATGTTAATTTTGATAAATTCTTCATAAGAAAATTTTCAAAATTGTCAATTTTAGCTCAAACTCCTAGATAGAATAGAATCGTATGCATTGTTTTCATGACAATATGTGACACATTTACTTGGCGTTTAAAAAAATGAGCAAAGAGGATAAAATACTGTAATACGCACTTTCAGTTGATGAAAAGAAGCACTGTGCTTCGAAGTGAACATTGCTTAGCACATTCTTTTGTGAAACCGTCATCTCCAATGGAACGTTTTTTTACAGATAAAGGTATGTCAAGCCTGTCATGCCATGTCGAAACTTGCCATCATTTTTTCAGTGATAGTTTAACGGTAGCGAAAGAAGCGTGAAATACATTAAAAAATTAATATGTAGTACCTAGTACAGCGATCAATTGGCCAGCCCTCAGAAGTTATTCCCAGTCCACCTCTCGTCTATGCGACCAAACTATGCTCATTTCATTGTGAACAATGTGGGTACTTCAAATAGGAGTTTCTGACACTGAAAGTAAATGCATATTTTATTCATTTTTTAATAAGTTCCAATTTCTTCCCAGATAAAATATTCCCAATTCACGATATGTAAACGTCTACCAATCTGTCTGTATGTCCCTCCGTCTGTGAACAAAGCATAGGCAGGATTTTCACCAAAATTGATATTCCACGGTCAATTGAACTGATGACACGGTCCCTTGAATTTCAAATGGATGTTTTTAAATTTTGAATTTCTCGTACTTTACATGAAGCATTGGTACATTTTCAAAAGTCTCTGTACAGCGGCACCAACTGTTTCAATTAGCTGTTGTTTATTGGATGGCGCGCCGATAGGTAGTAGCTGGGAAAAGAGTGGGGCTATATCGATAACTATCCTCGACCAAAGGGATTAGAAAAGAAACTAGTGCAAGAAAATTGATGCCATTCTGTAGAATCACTAGTTATGTCAATTAGATGCACAAATGTTTCTTACTATGACAGCCCTACATCGCTCGCGGCCTTGCGATCGCACTCGCTCTAAAAAGCGTCAAAAATCTTATTCTCCTTAAATAATGCTACAACAACTCTTCGAATCTACAATAGCCCTTCGAGAATTTAGAATGTGAAAATATACAATGATAAACAAGATGCAACAAAATTAAAATATGACAAGTAGACATTGTTTATTGAAAAATATGCTTCTGAGGACAAAACCGCCGAAGAATCTCATTGTTAATTAATTTTGTGAGGAACACTCTTGTTTTTTGTTTTTTTTAGCTTAAATGACTCACCCTGTACTGCGTGTTTTAGAATAAATGTTACAAGTGTCTAAGGCAGATAGTTAAAAAATACTACTTTTTCCAATGATTACACAGATAATGGAAAATTGTATGTAATGAAGTTATATAATTTAAAAATGTGGCATTCTCATTTAATTTGTAGATAAACCCGTTTGCACAAATGTTTGGCAGGTAAAAAAAAGACTTCATTATCAGAATATGACCTGTGAGAGCGTAGGCTTCCGCGGCCGGAGTCAGTATTTACTAGGCTATCCGGGTGACGCCGCGTCCATGGCGAAGGTGCCGACGTTTCGGTCGCCATTCTGCAACCTTCCTCGCCCTGAGCTCGCAATACGCCCTGAGGAAGGTCGCAGAATGGCGACCGAAACGTCGGCACCTTCGCCATGGACGCGGCGTCACCCGGACAGCTTAGTAAATATAGAACATGACCTGTCGTACATCTGTGCTTACTATGTTACCTAAAAATAGACGCAAGAGCTACATGTATAAACGGATAACTCCCTTATATACAATTTCGCACTTACTGTTCTTTGGCAAAAAGGAATAATTTTCGACCCGTCTAGACGTCGTAGAAGGTTTTAACATTTATTCTCGCACACCTGCGTAGATCATCTGCGTAAAATAGCGACAGAGTACTGCAATAGAAGAAGGAAGTTCGAGAGTAGTTGGTTACTTGGCGTCGTCGCCGTCGGCGTCGTCGGGGTCGTCTGGCGGCAGCGCGTGCGCGTGCAGGCGGCTGAGGAGGCGCGCGTGCAGCAGCGGCGGCAGCACCAGCGACAGCGGGCCCGTGACGGCCGCGCCCAGCAGCCCCATGACCAGCGGCAGGCGCGGCGACGCCAGCGCCAGCAGCACGGCGCCCGCCAGCAGCGACACGCGCAGCGCCGCGCGGCGCCACGAGAAGTCTGCGGCAGAGAGCGAGCACTCAGCGCGACAGGACATGCGGTACGCGTACTCTGCGGCAGAGGGTAAGCTCTCGACGGAGCAGGAGATTTGGCACGCGAGTCATGAGACCGCTGCAACAGAGCAAAAACTTCTAACAAACAGCGAATACGTGTGCAAGCCCTCAACGGGATAGACAAGTGCAACGGAATACAAGTTTATAACGGGCAGATAGTACTAACGTAAACTGTGTCGCAGGGAGCCAATCCTCATGTCTCAAGACGATGCGGTACGCCGCGCCACGAGAATTCGCAAACAGGAGATAGGCCGTCAACATTCGGAGACACTACGCTACGAGAAGTCTGTAGCAGAACACGGAGCTACAGAGGAATCGACATGCATTGAAACAAAAGATTCTAAAAGACGTAGAGGCAACATTAGGAGAACCATGCAACACGACACAATCTTCTGCCTGACATGGAGGAAAAGCTAAAATAATTCTGTAATAGGGCACGGAGCTTCAAGAGTCTGAGATATTCAGTTTCCGGCCGGACAAAGTATCTGAAACAGAACACATGTCATTGACAGAATGAACGTTTTGATGCCGACTGGTGATTTCGCAAGAGTCGTTTTCATTACCGCCTAGGCCTTGCGTAGTCTAGATCACTATTTTTTGCGCCATCAAGATAAATCTGTGACAGAATAGTAGTTCTTGCCAGATCAGAAAACTATGTCACCCGACTCTAGGAAACCTCTGAAACAAAAAATAGCTCTCGTCACTTTGAGAGACTTCAATGAGCGACACCACAAGAACTTTTGGTTAGAGCACAAAATTTCAGTCTAGGAGACGATACCATCTGCCGACACGCAAGTCTGCATCACTAAGCATATATTTGATTGACTGTGAGATTTGATAAGACGCGGTATGGGATGTCTGAAGAAATGCAACCTTTCAACCCATCAGGAGACTTTAGTGGTCCAAAAATAAAAATACAGTTGCATATGGACACAACTAAAATGAACAAAGATAACAATTTCCAGCGAAATTGTTCCATGAATGATCAGATTTAATGTAGTCAGCTGTTTTGTTATCAAATCTGAATTGGGCCTTGAACTTCCTTTTCTTGATTAATAACCACCAATTACTCATATCAAACGGCGAATGACTACCTATTTTTCTGAGACATCAGAATGTAAGAGTTGACATAAGCAAAGACAGAAGATAAAGGAGAGGATCGGAGAGTCGATTAAGGTAGCGTGACAAAATAATACGTCATCAAAAGAAGGATTCACTGTGGAAAATGTACGAAGACGTACGTAGCTAACTAATCAATGTGCTGCGATTGGTGTTTTCTGAAGTGTAGAGTTACAGTGGTGACCTCAACTAATTTTGCTTCCAAGAAAGGAAGAGTCACAAAAACAAGAGAGTTGCGATAGCCTGGAACTAGACCCTCCAGAGATGAGCCACGGAAGAGCTGCACTCAAAGATAATGGCTTCGATGGTGTAACGAGAAGCTATCGGACTGTTGTACCTAACTTTGCGGGTCCAAACCCAATCGAAACTGTAGATTTTGAAAGGGCAAAAACATATTTGTACACCTTCCTTTGAAGGGGAAATAAAGCCGGTTGTCCAATGTTGCAGTTTCGTCCAATGTTGAGTGATATATCTGTTCTCTGCTATACGGTGAAAGGAGAGTATCGTAATTGGCGGGTTCAGGCGGAAGAGCAGGTCTGATGGCCTGAGACTCGCCATGGGAAACGAGGCATTAATTGAACTGAATTGAAGATATAATGAGGAGATGTTGCGAGTGCGCGTGCTCACCTGGTGAAATGCGGAGTCGCTGTTCGAGGTCCTGGAACAGCGCGCTGCCGCCCACCACGGTGGACAGCAGGATCTGCAACGTGGCCAGCAGCACTGCAGCGTACAGCGGCGGGGAGCCCGGGAGCGCCTGCAGGACGTCCGCGCGCCCCGCGCTGCCCGGGCGAAGCACCCCGGCCAGCAGCGTCGTGATCAGCGCCAACGACGCACTCACTGCCACACACACACATCACACATTGACAGAGGAAGCATTTCTGGAGCAGCATACACATTGATAGTGGGAGCATTGCAGATAGAGCAGCACACGCATTGACACATCAAGCATTGCAGCTATGGCAGCACACACATTCACACAGGAATCATTGCAGCTAGATACGCACACACATTGACAGAGGCAGCATTGCAGTTAGAGAAGCACACACATTGACAGGTGAAGCATTGCAGCTAGATCAGCACACATTAATCGAGGAAGCATTGCAGATGGAGCAGCACACAGATAGACACATCAAGCATTACAGCTAGAGCAGCACACGCATTGAGAGAGGAAGCATTGCAGATAGAGCAGCACACACATTGACACATCAAGCATTGAAGCTAGAGCAGCACAAATATTGACAGAGCAAGTATTGCAGCTGGAGCTGCATACACATTGTCTGAGGAAGTATTGCTGTTAGAGAAGCGCACACATTGACAGAGGAAGCATTGCAGCTAGATCAGCAAAGATTGATAGAAAGCATTGCAGCTAGATCAGCATTCATATTGACAGAGGAAGAATAGGAGCTGGAGCAGCACACGCATTGGCAGAACAAACGTTGCAGATAGAGCAGCCCAGCCAGCAGCGTTATGATTACCAATAGCGTCGCACTGTCACACGCATCACACAGTGTTAGTACCAAGTTAGTTGTCCGGAAGACGCTGCATTCTAGACACAGTTGCCAACATTTCGGCCGCCATTCTTCAACTTTCCTGAGGTCAACTTGCTCGTAGATGGACTACGCGCAAGATTATGTTCCCCTCTGCCCGGCGATCAGCCACTTGTTCGGGCGATCGGCCAATGCGGAGAAAGCATCGGCTAATCAGGGAACGGGACCCCTGGGTTGGATGGGAGGTGGTCTGCTCGTGGTCAGACGTCAAGGACAACCGGGGACCGGTCCCTGCCGCTAACGGCAAAATATGTTTTCACGCCTTATGGACTTGGTCGGCATGTTTTGGGGGCGTTTGATTATTTCTAGAACCTGTTTTGCTCTCTTCGGACCCCAGAGGTTTTCTGGTCTTCAACGCAGTCTTCAACGTCTACTAGCTTTTGCTGAAGTTTTTAATAGCATCTGTGGATTGTTCGAAGTGTGTGTCAAAGCGGCTCAAAAGCTTAACAATTTTCTCAGTGACCGCTTGAATATATGGTAGAATGGCCATCTTGCGGCTGGCATCGTCGCTAGGTGTAATGATGTCAGCAAGCTAGAGGTGCTCGTTGCCTACCGTACTGCTTGGTTGATAGATTTAGCACGGTATCCTTTAGTTTAAAATGTGCCCCTGAGTAGCTCCATTTAAATGTCTGATTGCTCATCACACACTTTAGTTTCTCTTATGGTCAGAGTTTTCAAAACCCCCCGTTTTGTTGCGAGTTCAAGGAGAGAGCCAGTGTGCAGGTAGTGGTTGGTACGAGTTGGTTTCCTATAAACATTATGACCTAGACTGTCGCTTGAACTACATAAACACAAGGACCTCGTAGTACCTGCAGACAAAAGCTATGCCCCGATGGTCATGAAAACCATCGACTAACACTCCAAAGCTTGAAGCTGTAGATGAAACCTTTAGTTCCACAGAGTAAGGAAGTTGAGGGAAAAGATCGCGGTACATAACTCACACACATCACGCATTGACAGAGTAAGCATTACAGTTAGCCGCGACACACCCGGCGCGTTATATTAATCTTTCCCTTTTAACGAAGGTAGTGCTTCAAGTGGTATAGTGAAATGAAGTGAAGTGCAAAGACAGCAGTGAGGTTTTAATTGTACACACATTCAGTGAGGATTTAGAATATAGATATTTCTTTCTGTGTAACAATGTTTTCAGTGAGTTTTATTACTATATTTTTTTGGCTCGCGAATGTGCCATCTCGGAACCACGCAAACGTGCAACCCAACGGAGCTGAGTCTTATTTATCGAGGGTAAGTGCACGTGACTTTCATAAGGGGATCAGCATTTTCATGCTGAATCCATTATTACACCCAGGGTTGTTAGCCCAGGGAATGAGGTGAAATGATAATGATGACGAAGGAAGAAATAGACAAATCACAAACTTGCAGAGACACACACAAACACAACCATGCCCAAGGTGGAACTCGAACTCGAGATCCTTCGATCCAAGACCTCCACGGAACTGCTACCTTAGCGAACTCGGTTATCAGGATCGTCATTATTATTATTATTATTATTATTATTATTATTATTATTACTATGCCATTATATATTTATTATTTGCATATCATTTATATTACCTTATACTGTATATGCAATTAGCTGCCAACGGGTCTAATTGGAGTTTAAATAAATTTATCTTTTAAAACTTGCATAAGAAAGTACAGTAAGAAATGACACATAGAAAGACACGAAGCTTATAATGAATGAGAGGGATATCGATGGATTTCTAACATTGCCAAGACAACTCTTTAAATTCTCTTTTTTTAACTTTAAAACCTTTTTTTTCTGGATTTCATCGATAGAATAAATCATTTGCAAACTTACGTGTGTATGACGCAGCTATAGCGTGCCCTAGGCGACTAGGATCTGCCATATCCACTTGCACTGTGAGCAGAGCTGGATGCGCATCAAACTGCAACACATGAGCCAATCATTCATTAGGATATATGGAATTCATTCGACAGAGGCAATCTTGAACTCAGAAATTAATTTTGAAATTTTATATTACTATAATTATCTTTAAAATGATAATGTGAAAAATGACCCATTTTTAAATAAGGAATGGAATATAACAAATAAATGTAATGAGATTAATAAAAAGGAAAATTAGTAAACAATAACTAAATTAATAATGAAATTGACACTATTTGTTAATACTTTGATTTATGAAATTTTTTATTAATGCAGTTGAAATATCAGTAATACATAAAAAATCAACATATTACATCAACATGATAAGTAAACGAAATGAATGAGTTTCTACTGTTTACTTTTTTAAGATACATTTATAATTAGGGATGAAAAAAAGTTGGCATGACTGGACAGAAACACAGCACATTATTATGCTGAAACATAGCTACATTATAATGTACGAAACAATTTTATGAAATGTATGCACGTATGATCATAGGAGACCTGTTAACAGTATTGTTGTGTGTTTATCAAAAATGAATTAAACTTTGGAAAAATGCTGGAAACAAGAGTGAACATTGCGTAATATAAGAACTGAAAGAATAACAATGTACTAAGCGATTGTTAAATGCGTAATTGTATAATGGTACAAACATCAACTAAAAACTAATGATATTGAGAAATAGTAATTAGGTTTTTCCTTTCTGTATTAATATAAGAAAAAAATTAGGCCGGAAAAGAAGTAGGATACGATAGTAGAATATTTTCTCTTACTGTCAATCTTAGGGCGATGTGGCTAGAAAATTAAAAACATTCAAGATATACTCCTTGCCAGGTGTCTCTCTGTGTAATAAGGGAAGTAATCATATTTGATTCAATCAAAGAATGAAGATGAGTTTTTAGAAGTTACTACAAAATATATAAGGGCTAAGCAAAACACTGCAAACCATCATTTCACGTATTAAAATGAAATATTTTAGAATATCCCAAAAACAATTATATACACGATCCGTGTTTATAGAAATACAGTACGTGTAAAGAAAGCAACAAGACGTGTGCACATAAAGAGTTATTAGACCGAAATATATCTACTTCGCGAATTAGCTGTTTAATTCGCATATTAGTCACGAAGTTTGTATAAAGCTGTATGAATGACGATGAACGGATAACTTCTGACAATTCACTTTTCATCATTCACTTAATTTTACTGGAAGAGGTGACTCACGGTATCAATTGATGGCACTGCAATGCCTCTGACCAGGAGGTCCTATATTCGAATCCCGACGGCGATCAGATTTTCGACTCTACCTATATAGGTAGATCGAATTCAGTCGATGTATGGAGGAGAATTCTAACAGCCGGCTGCTCTGATCGGTAGTTTGGTTTCTCCTATCAATAGCAGAAGAATTGTAGCCGAACTGTGCCCTAACAAAACGGGCCATTGGCACCTATCCTCACTCCTTACACATACACATACATGCGTTACACTACCACACATGCCGAGAGATCGGTCGGGAGCTTAGAGCTTGTCCCGGCTGAGGCGGTGCCCAGCTGGTGGAAGATACGTGGTTGGGTGAAACCCCGATAGTTGACGGTAGGTTGGCTCCGGATCTTACTATCCTAGAAAATCACCGCCACCTTACTAGGAAGAAAACATGCATTACACTTATGGGACTAATGGACCTAGAAGTTGGCGCGCCCGGAATCACTAATTAATCAATTGGTAATTTGGGCGTTAATTGCAGAAAGGAGTATAGAGTATGCTTCAAACCGCGCACTTTTTTGCCCATTTTGGATAATGCGAACAAATATCGGTTAATTGGTGAATTAGTCAGATTGAGACATTAGACAACATTCATACAAACTGAAACATATTACAAAAATGTACAAAAATTAAGTTCTTACTCTAGGGAACAAAAATTACAGAAGTTAGCCCTACATTCTGTTAAAACATTAGAGCTATGACGAGGGAACGAAATTTATATGAAATAAAGCAAAAGTGAGATCTGAAGAAATGTGATTATTCGTAAATATATTTTGCATTTAAGTGGAGTGCGTGAGTCATTAGGACGGAACAAGAAAAGTCATCAGCTACACCGAGATTCGATAACTAATGTCCTAATGAGTTAGGCTCTCAACTAGTTTCCGTCAATTCCAACTTCCTACTGTGGTGAGCTACCAGTCGAAACAGAAATATCACATTGTAACACAGTTGACGAAGATTTTGTCGCCATGAAGAGTTACGCGTTGCTAACTTTCTTATTTATGAAAGTCGTTCTTTCTCAGGTTGGTTTGCATTTTTTACGATTAAAATCCTACCTTGGACCTACAATTTCAAATAGTCTTTAAATAACAAAATATATTCTTAATAAGTTTTGTAATGTAATAAGTTTTTTACAACTCGGGAACGAAAATGTCTATTTTTTTTTCAAAAATTGCTTATCTTGCCCATACGTCACATATAGTTTTTACTGTTTTCTGACTAAATGAATCTAAATATTAATATTTTTATAATACAGTTTTAAAGATGAGTATTTTTAATTATATTTAAAATATTGCTTGTTTAAATGTCTTAAATATAACATTCTTAATATCTTTATCCTTTATTTTTCTCATATTTTCCGCTGAGATATCTTTCATAGTGTGTAAATAGTTTTGTGGAGAAAATACTTGCAACTATTGCGATTATAATATTCAAAATTATAAAAATCACAATTCAAAGCAACATTAATAAATTTTTATCGCTGTATTATTGTACACAAATTTTGAGATAACTAGACGTATTAAATATTGTTGTAGATGAAAACATATTCTAATTTTTTTGTTGTGATACAGTTTGAGAGTATTCTATGAAGAGTAGAGTATTCTATAAAGCCGTATTCTGAGCAATGTTGCCCGTTTTTTGACCGCCGCTCTGTGGCATTGAGACGGTAGAAATGATCCTATATGGTGGTTGAAATATTGTGAAAGGCGTTTCGCGCAAAGCCCTTGTCTGACATTATAACAAATCAGTAATTGATTGTAGACAAAAGAATACGATATTCACAATTATCGTCTTTTAGCACCAGGATAATATATTTAAAACATTTCTATCTGTTTATTTAGGCTCATATGTACGGCTACGGGTACGCAGGTGGCTACGCAGGCGGGTATCCAGACTTTTATCCAGGCTATTTTGGCGCCGGGCCGTTCTTGGGTCCCAGCGCGCACTACAGTCCACACTTAACAGTGGGCGGAGGAGTGTTGCCATATGGATACCCACCCTTCGCAGGCGGCCTGCCGATCCAAGGCCCTCCGCACCCTTATGGGCTCATGCCCATTGGCGCCGTAGCCATGATGGGCTTCTCTGCACCCCCCTATCCCTACGGCTTCACTCCGGACTTCTTTTGAATTTTATTCAAAACTGATATTTTGGGTATGTTTTATTACTCACAGCAGTTTTCCTCACTGAACGAAATTGGATGTAAAGAAAGTTATTATAAATCGAAATTTCGATAAGTGACAATTTTATATGTTAAATTTCGTATTTCACATATTACTTTAAAAAATATGTGTGTTGTATTATGTTTATCCTGACCCTTTTTTGGATTGTGTTCAATTGAGGATGTTGATAAATGATGATAAGTATTAATACTTGTGTATGTTACTTGCAAATTCATTATGTTTAAACCATATTGTGGTGGTATTTTGATTTAAATTCACAAATTAGTTTTTAAATAAATTTACTTCCTCCTACAGTATAAACGAATATATAACATGCTTTCCGAAAATTTTTATTGTTTCGAAAGTTGTCACATTATTTGATAAATTTCGAAATTTACAAATAACTTTTAAATAAACGCAAGACTTAGAAAAGAAAAATGTTTGTGACTGCATTTAATGTTGTGTTTTCCTATTCATGACGACGCAAAATATTTCCTTATTCCTATATTCACAATTTTTACTTTTTCGTCTTACCATGTGAGAACAAAGTAGTGTTATCGTCCACCGGTAATCAGCGATTTTTCGACTTTTGCCTGGAGCTGGTAATGAAAAAATGAATGTGTATTATTTCTGTATGCAGTAATTTTTTTCTTCTAACATGATATGTAGTGAGAATCATTTGAATAATTTGTAGATTATTGACATCAAAAATGGATTGACGGCAAAGCTCCCGTCAGTCCATCTGTCTGTGATCAACTATGGTTTCTAAACCTTTCAGACAATTTCCTCTCAAACTGAGAAAAACCCAAAAGTCGGTTGCAGGATTATCGAAGTAATTTAGTCATACTCATAATTCGTACTGACTTGAAGTCAAGAAACCACCATTCAACCGTGATCTTTTTCATTCATAATTTTGAAAGCATGAAAATTCTAGAATTAGTACTTGTCACACATTTCGCTGACATTTACAAGCAATTACACAGAGTAACAAAAAGGAAGGAAAGTTGAAGCAGTCACTTTAGAAGTTGTGCACATTATTCAATGAATGTCCCAGCCATGTTTGAATCCATCGGTTTATTACACCCTTCACTCAAATAGAACATGCTTCTCAGACGATAATCAACACGGCATATGCGTTCACTTGCTCAAACAACCCCCAATCTTGTTACCGCAATTACTACTGAGTACCAGCAGCCACTTTCAGTTTTATCAAAATGAACTCACACGATGCAATTGCTCTACTTATTCTTCTGAGTTCTTTGATCATATCCTTGCAAGTACGTGTTATTACAAAAAGATGTTCAGTTCGTAAAAAATGTTTGAGAATAATTTTGTTATGGTAATGTCCTCCATGTTATATACTAAAATGGACACATTCGAAAATATTTAATTTGTCATGCAAAATACATTTTATATCATTTAATAATCATTAAAAATTACTTTAAATGCTTCAATGATACAATTTGCATAACGCATGTTATAAAGGAATAACTGCATGATAAGTTGACAATTTAGCTACAAAAATTCGGATGCATGGCATTGACACTTTCAGCTTAGGTTAGATTATTTTATTTATTTATGTGATTTTTATGCTACCATTCTCAATAGTTTACGTTTTCTTAAAATATATTGCAAGTACCTATAACTTAATATATATCGTGAACATATTTGTTACACCAAAGATATTTTGATCCCCCGAGAATAATAGTAATCTTCACTAATTCTGCGAGTCATTTGCTATTATTATCTTTGATTACTAAAAACAATGTAGTGTTACTGGATATAATGTAAACAGATTATTAATTTGTTTTAACGGTTCTTTTAACTAGATCAATGTTGATTTAGATTTAACGTAAATTATCAATTATAATTTTAAAATATCACGATAAGATGTAATAAGAAGACTTATAAAATTGTGCAAATTACCCTTAATTTCAGATGCAGTGTACTGGAGGGTTTTTGTCTTAACAGATAATAAGATATAAATTATAAATTACTTCAAACCAATCTTTCTATTCAAACTTGTTTGCATGAACCGCAAATTACGTTAAGTATTTGAGTTTCGTTAAAAATTCATGAAACTTACATCACTTGTGAAAATATTGCGAAGCGATAATTAAATATTTGCATTATCTGGTAATTGTTCGTTTAGGTCGATGCACGTCCACAATTCCATGAGATTCAAGAAATTGTAAACAAGATAAAGGTATATTATTATTATTATTATTATTATTATTATTATTATTATTATTATTATTATTAGCCTGTTCACATCTCTTAGTACGGCAAAGACCTCTTGCATTGTAAGGTATTCAAAGTTTATTAGCTAGATAGCTTGTTAGTGTCTGTTTTTAGTCTTGTTTCCTGTTCACTTCTCACTAGTTCCTTCTTTTTGTTCATGTCTAACTTATTATCACTTCACTGTCACTTCACTGTTATCTTTTTTCTTAACCGACTTCATAGAGAGTTTGAATCAGTTTTTCTCCATTTAGTGCGGTCTCGTGCTATTCTGGTCCATAGTGTTTCCTATCTTCTTGCCGTCGTTTGATTACTGTCTTTCGATATTTCTCTTGCCAGTCGTTGGGTCCCATATTATAGTTTTGTAGATCCATCTGTTAGTGTTCTTCCTCATTATATGTGCGGCTCATTTCCATTTTAAAATACGTGTGAATTGATCTACATCGTTTTGACCTGTTCTTTGTCATACGCCACTATTTCATTCTTTGTCTTTTAGACTTATACCTAAGATTTTCTTTTCTATCCACCTTCGACATATTTTAGCATATCTTTTTCCCTTTCCGTTAGTGACCAGGTCAGTGAACCGTATAATAATACCGGTAGAACACAGGTGGTCATAATGCCTCTCTTTATTTTTACGCAGTAGTTGTTCAGTAATATTAATTTTAAAGACGAGAATTTTTTCCACTCTTCTGATATTCTGTTTTCTATTGTGGATTGTAAGGTATTCTCAAAGGGTATGATCTGGCCCAAATATTGGTACATGTCTATTTATTGTATTTTTTCACCGTAAACTCTTATTCGTATTGTCGGACAGTTGGTCATTATTTCTGTCTTTTGAGTTTTTATTGGCAGTCGTACTTCTTAGCGGTTTTTGAAGAGGTCGTCTAGCATTTCTTGTACTACTTGGCTGCTTTTGTTATAAGAACTATGTCATCAGCAAATCGTAGATTTTATATTTTTTCTCCATTGATGTTGATGCCGTATTTTTATTTAGGGACATCATATTTCTAAAATGCTTATAAATATTTTTTGTGAAATGGGGTCACCTTGTTTTACTCCCCTTTGTTGTTAAAATTATTGTCCCTCTGAATCTGTACTCACTTTTGCTTTACTATTTAGGTATACTTTTCCTAAAATTTATATGCATGTCGGTGATTCTTCTTGTACGTGTAATGCTTCCAGAATTGCTTTATATTCCACAAAATAGAAGGCTTTTTTGAAGTCTATGAAAAGAAGGTACAAATTCATATTATATTTTTGAACTTTCCTTAGCTAAGATACTCTGAACTATTCTTGAACTGAGGTATGATATATAATAATTTAAAATTTTATCGGAACTTTTAACTAGATCGATTTTGTTTTAGATTTATGCACATAATCGATTATAACTTTAGAATATCATGATCTAATGTAATAAGAATTTTTATAGAATTAAACAAATTGAAGTAATGTACCATTCTATTCCCATAAATTTCAGATGCAATGCACTAAAAGTGTTTTTTTCTTAACAGATAATAAAATATAAATTATTTTACACTAACCTTTCTATTCGAAATCTTGACTGAATACGTTAAATACTTGACAAATTATGTTAAGTATTTGGATTTCGTTAAAAATATTCATGAAAGATTATAGTCGAATAAGGTGATACCAAATTAATAATTGTGATACACGTATGAAAAATAATAAAAAATTCTGTAGATTCCCAAAATATCAGACTTCTAGGGCAATCTGTTAGAGAGATACAATGAGAAATTTTTTTTCCACGTTTTATTTTTTCTCAGCTCCTATTGCAGTACTGAAACATTGCAGAGATGAGAAAAAATATATCAATTTGGAGCTTTTTTAATCAACCAATTTTGGCGCCAAATTAAAATAGAAAAAAATAAGCTTTTAAAATGAGACTGCCCTAGGATGCTGATTTTTTGGGAACCTATGACACTTATATTCTCTTCCATTTCAATTTCGCAATTATTGATTTTGTTTGGGTCACCTTCTTTTTAAAAAGCTAATATATAAATTTTTATAAGCTAATATTTAAAAATTCATGGCAGATTTTGACTAACGGTATAATGGTCTCGTATCGTCTCTTTACTATAAGTTTTGTACAAAAGAAATTCAGAATTTTTATGTAATGAAATATACAGATATTCTTCCCCCAGTCTTGAACCTTAGAGTGAAATTCTCGAGAATTCTCTTTAAAACGGAGTACACATTCGCAGCGATGTAACAATAAAATAGGGAACTTTTTTACCTGAGTCATTTAATCTAATTTACTCTTATATCTCTCTCTTCATTGGATTATCGTCGACTAATATGTGCTAGAGATAACTTAATTATATACTATAAAAATATACAACTGAAATGTATTCTTATTAAGTACAATTTTAATCATCTTAATAATCTTTAAATCAAACATCTCAGATCTTTTAAGAACAAATTATGTTGAATTTTTCTCAGTATATAACCAAATTCCGTATATCTTGAGAAATGACATTTGCAAAATGATGTTCTCAAATATTTGTACAACTGAGGGTTTGTGTTCGATGAAAATTAAATTTTCCACTTGTAACAGATTTTTGAAAAAAAACACTAATTAGAAAACAATAGTATTTTGACGGTATTATGAGTATTTTGAAATAATAATGCTCATTGAATATTCATGTGAAATGGTCAACTTACAAAACTAGAAACAATACAGCAATCCCCTAACCTAATTAATTAGCACTAAATAATGAAGACCTAAAGATTAACCCCGTTAAACACAAAAACCTTTCTTGAAAATATCGTCTGCATAATAAAAAATTCTTTTAACTTTGTTGTTCTCGATTTAATTTTGCCCTTGCAAAGGAAAATCCATAATCGAACGAGCTCATTTTCGTCAGGACAAATTGAGCTCGTCTGCCAGCTTTGTCGAGGAAGCCTCTTTTGTGCCCAGTTCCTCTCCCGCCTGATTCGTCCTCCAAACACTGAAAAACCGATGGCTTAGCGTCTTTATTTTGTAGTTGCAAGGCTTCCTCCCTCTCTTTTTGTTCACACAGACCTTAATATTTGGTGCCTGGTTGGTGTATTCTTGATTGCTATCAAGAGTTATCTAAACGCGTTTTTGTACGAGAGGATTTTCTTTACATCGATTGTTGTAAGAAATGTTTTTTTTAATGTTCGTCGTCACTGTATTTATCGCTTTCGCTT